ACCATAACACACTAGTCAGTTAGACACCTCCCTCCCACAAACACACAAGCCTCTAAATACTGGATTTAGAGGATTTCAGATAGAAAATGGATTTAGATTCCAAAATATCACTTTTACATACGCGCTCGAACAGATTTTTGATCAGCATAAATCACAAAACATTGCACTCTTTGTCACCATTTCCCCAAAAAGGAAAAGTGAAGAAAGTAACCATTACTGTATTGCAGAGCTCTAAAAGTGTGTAAATCAAACAAGTTAGTGCAAATTCATCGAGGTTTCTGCTCTCATTTTGAAACCCCACCAGTTTATACCTGAATGACTTTGGCCACATCTTAGATAATTAAGATTTTAATTGCCATTTTATCAGCTTTGAAATGAAACTCACTTGGACAAAGTGCAGCAATCTTTCAGATTCACACCCCCCTTTGCCTCTGTCAGCACACAGCAACCAGGGTTGTCCATTTAAGGGAAAAAGTACAAGCTCCAGCCTATTTCCCTGTGCTCTGGATGTGTTTGTCCCACTCCTTCAGCAAAGCATTCTGTTGTGCCAAAAAGCACTTCCTTCCTTGCAAAAGTCATGCACACGTGACCACATACATTGCCATTTCTGATGAAGGTTTAATTTATCTTTCAATTGTATTTTCTCAGTATTTCTGTGTGTGTAAAATATTGTGAAGGATGCTACGATCTATGTAATCTTACAGATCACCTTTACAGCTACAATTTGCATGTTTTACTTTTAGAAAAGGTTTAGAGAGATAGTCCAGACAAAGCAGAATGAGAATCGCAGGGCCAAGCCATCTTGAATTTAAAAACAAAAAAAACAAAAAACAAAATACAGCTGTCCCAACCTAGGAAGATTTTCTATTTGCACTTATATTAGGACTTATTTTATTATGATGCTGAGAATAAAAAGTAATATAGAAAGTACAGATTATCTGCAGAAGCAGGAAGAGTAGGGGCATAGACCCAAAATAAAAGGGGAAATCTAATCAAGTGTCATGAAATGCAGGATTTTCACAAGTACATGAGGCATCACACATTTTCAACATGATCAGAGACTCCCACTGTCTCTTGTGAACAGAATACTGGCCCAATTGTTTCTGCCTTCACCTCAAAGCATAAGTGCAGGACCATGTTACAAGTTCTGGTGTCACTAGCTTGGTACAAACACTGGCTACTAAGTAGAAAAAGAGAGGATAAAAAAAATCTTAATGTTTTATGAATTGATTGTCTTCTCTGTTATCCAGTATGCTTCAAAATGAAGAAAAGCCTGTTGTCTCTAAATAATTACCAATATTCTGTATAAAATTAGGAAACAACTTTCAGTAGAAAACAACAAGAGAAAGGAGAACAGAAAGGCTAAAAATGAAAACCGCCACAAGCTGAAAAGTTTAGACATTTGAGCTTCTTGTAAAGAAGTATTTAAACATCTCTATACAATAGGATATCCTTATTTTATCTTTCTAGTTTTCAGTTCTTATCCTAGGTTTTATACACTAAATATTTTGGTGAAATGGGAAGTATGAATAGATGGAGTTCCTTCTCATTTGTAATGTTATCTGCCTTCTTCACAAATATTCACTTTATTTTTCCAACTGTCATTTTAGATATGTAGAAGGACAAAACCCCTGACCAAAATTCAGTTTACATTTAAATAGCAGGACAACCTGCAACAACAGACCTTGAGAAAGGAAGAAACAGGAAATTCAAAGCAAAGTAAAATGTCTCTTAGAAAAAAAATATTTGGACAGAAATAGAGATGATCTCTTTTGTTAAATGCTCTTGAGGGGACTGGAAATGTATCTGCTAATTCCTGAATACTAAAACTTGATCTTATTCAATTCAAAGGAAATCTCAGTCTGAATTCAGTGGCATAAACCTGACCTTTGACTGGCACAGCTCTGAGGCACATTCTTAATTTCTGCCTGGAGGTACCTGAACTCAGTTAGATAAGATTACCAAAAGCCTTAAATTAACCATGTGTGGAATGTCTGCCAGCAGAAAGATCCTGTATCAGGAGGAGTTTCACTGATACACCTCTATCAATAGGAAGCTTTTATTGTGGAAATGGCTTTAGTGGTGAAATTGTAACCCAGAGGAGCAAAACAGGGCATACCAGCAAAACAGATTTCCTAATATTCTCATGCTTAGTCCACAGGCTGCTTCCAGGAAGCACATCCATTTTTTCAGGAATCCTACTTTGGCTGACACAGCTCTATTAGTATGAATGTTTAGTCTTTCCATTTTGTCAGGTGTGACAGTGAAAGGCACTACAGAAAACTCAGATGTCCTGAGGTGTCATCAAGCTCACTAATACCAGTAGCATGAAGGATGTACCGGTAAACACCAGAGCCAAAGGTCAATCATCTACCACATAGCAGCAGGAGGAGCTCAGGAAAATCAGAGCATATGTAAGAAGGGACAGAACAGTGCTGAGATTTGGAGATGAATTTCAAGTCTTTGAATTTGGTGTTAAAAATAATCAGATCCTCTATAGAGAGACTAAAAGACTCAGGTGATGAAAACACTCAGTCAAGATGGTGACTCTAGCTGTGACTAGATCAGCTAAAATTATAACAAAATTAATGTAATAATTAAATAATAATAATACTATGAAAACATCATAAAATCAAAAAAGTCACCAACATATTCTGGAAGTGAATTCAGATTGGAAGGAGCCTTTAGCATCATGAAAGGCACCATCCATTCCACAGTTATGTAAATATAAACAAAATCAAAATGATGCATGAGGGACAAAATAATTGGGTATGCTATGTCTACTTGTGTTCCACCAAAATCACTATGTGTACCACCAAAACATAAATTACTTTTGATTTGATATAAAATCGACCTTGGTTTCACTGTAGTCATTAGAAGAATTGGCTATCTTTCAAATATGAAGCCATCTGTTGAATAGCCACATTACATATTCCACAGATTTGATTGGAAAATCCCAGAGCCTCTTTGTGGACACCTGTTGAAAAGAGTAATTTTAGCCTCCTCCTCCATTTTGAAGTGGAAAGGAAAACAGATGTATGTAAAACCACAACTCCATGTGTTAGAGTTTGAAGTTGCTACTAGACTGTTCAGATGTCACTTCATTTGACAGTTATCAAGCTAATAATTTGCCTTTTGATTTAAAAAAAAATGGCTAAAAGCAAATTGTGCAAAAAAAGGGAAGTTGTATAACCACACATTACACTGAGCAACAACTAAACCAAGAAGGGAGTCAATATTACCATAGCATTTTCCCAGATTTTGCCATCCCTACATTTTCAGAAGGTCAAATTTGTAGTTTAATTTGCCAGATATTTCATTAAAGAGAAGAGGCAGTAATTTTCACTCTAATGTCAAGATGACAAAGACTGTACAAATCATATTGTCTCAGATTTATTTCTCACTGTGTAGCCTTCTTATGAAAAAAATAACTTTCTCAGGATATGCCCTTATTAAAAAGTCATTCCAAAGTTTCCTTTTGAGACTTAGATTTGGGATACCATAGTGCTTTAGTAATTCCACAATAATGATTATCATATTAAATGATAGCTGCCAAAAAGTGCTTTAGTGTGCCCCTTGCTATGAAAAAAATGTACACTCTGTTAATTTTTTCTTTTAAGAATTTTTTTCCATCCTAATACTTTACTTATTTTATCATTTCACAAGCAGTTACATTCTCAGTCACCAAGTACAAGTTGCTTCAGAGTATTTTAATTCCATCCAATCCATCCAGTGCTAAGATGTGGTATTGATGTCATTTATGTAGTATGCAGGGATGCAACTAGAATTATTTAGCTAAAGCAAGACATTCTCATCTCCCTGAGGCAGTCCCAGCGTCCACAGACTGTGTCCAACACCACAGACACTCAGCACAGACTCAGTTAGTTCATTCCTTCTTTAGGACAAATATTTTTCATCTGAGACAATTCTACATAAATCTGTGAACAGGGTTTTAGCACAGGGTAAGTGCATTCTTTAAATCTCTGCCTCCATAACTGAATTCATATTGCATATGAACTTACAATCAGTCTCTTAACAATTAATGTGCACTAGATTTTTTTGCTTGCAGAAAACAGCTTTAAAAGAGGTGGCAGGGAGGAGTGGAATTCATTCTCCAATGGATCAAACAACTTTTGTCAGTTAAGACAAAGTAAATCACACTAAGCAATTCCTTCCCCTAAATTACATGACCGCTATGGGGCCATGGGATATGCATTTCCAACAACAAACAGGCTTCCATCCTGCTGCCAGGGTAAAACAATCATCTGAGAACTGGCTTCTCATTTATGATTTTGCTGCTAGAAACATTCACTTTACCAACAATGACCCAGCTCAAGCACACTTAGCTACAATGAACATAAGGTCAGTCCTTAGGACAGTTGTATTATGCTGCTAATCAAAGCAGCAGAAATTAATATTCATTCTATGTAAATAAGCACAAGAACCAAGAGTGGCTGTCACAAAGGCAGTATGAAAGGCACCAGGTGTGTCCTAAAAGTTTGCAAGAAAACAAAAAGTACAAATGCGCTTGGCCACAAACTATTTGGTTAATTCTGTTAGTGAAAGGCTTCTTCCTTTTATTTATCACACAGGTTGTCACTGCTTTTAATAGCTGCTGGACTATCACTGGTCAGAGATGATATGTATTCTATTATTAAATGTTGATTTGTCTTCTGTCTGCATGTAAGCAGAGATAAACAACATACACGTCAAAATCTATGCACATTTTTTCTTATTACTACTGGCTAGTTCATTATGCTTGTTCTCAGAACTGCAAAAATTATTTAAGCAATGCTTTTCTATCATGAAAACATAAAAAAATCTCTAAAACTTTTATTCCAGCTTTCATCTATTGACATTTCCAAATAATTCAGAAGATTGTTCAAAGAAGGAAAGAGACAATAGACATTAGAAAAGAAAATTTTTGTTAAAAAAGACGCTAGAAAATAAAAGTTATTGTAAAAAAAATAAAAACGACAGAGTGTTTAACTCAGTCTTACCTGTCAGCAACACGGACCTGGGAATATATCCTTTACACTGCAAGATCACAGTAGCCTGTCCCACAGCACTGCCACGGGAGTAGAAATGATCCAGCTCAGGAGATCACAAAGACAGAAACTTTTCCCACTTTTCTGGGTCTACCAGCAGTTGAAGTAACGAAGGAAACAAGGTAGAGAGCAGAAGACCAGAGCTGCTTCCCGCAGAAATCCCAGGCAGGAGAAGCAGGAGGTATACTCTGTCTGTGTCTCACCCAGACTTTTGTTTAAAAGTTTTTTCAACTGTTGCTAGGTGGTGTTAGGCTTTGGCAGTTTAGTTCTCAGATTGTATTTCCCCTCTTCTGGTCTCTTCACACAGTGTTACAGCAATGACTTTGTTGAGCTCAGCTCGCTTGTGCTATATTTAACCAGTGTTCTCAGCAAGTCAAGCCTGTCAACAGCTGAGAAGTTTGGAGCAGGCTTTGCTGAGTTCCTCAGCTGCTGAATTATCAGTGGATGTTGCACTGCACAGCCCAGCTACTACATTCACTGAAAGATTGTGGGGAAACTGTCAAATCCTTTTAAGGGCTTCCAGTGACTTCACAGGAGTAATTACTATTTAAAGCACTAAATACAAGATGTGTATTTAGGCATATATTTTAGACTGCTAGAGAAAGAATACTTGTGTTTGCTGCAGATGAGTTCAATTATTTATACAGTGAGAATTTTCCTAGGACAAGTAGGAAGTTTATAATTTGAAAGGTATGCACTTCACTTGAGGAAAAATTACACGTGGGAAGAACTTTTTGCAGCATAATTTCTTACAGAGTTTAAATATACTAAGATGACATGGAGAAATTAATGAAGGCTTAGGGTGGAAAGTTTTCACTGTGATATTTATTCCAAAGACAACCTTCTTCTCCCAGACCAAGAGCTTCCTGCAGTTATTCCTATACTGTCTCTCACTGAAGAAAAGGAAAGCTACACATATCACAATTGGTTTGACAGGAGTATTCAGAACACATTACTCCAGGGCTGTGTGCATTCTGATGTATCCACACTTGCTTCTGGATCTAATTACCATTCCTAATTCTAAGCCACAAGTCTCTTAATCAACAGACCAGCAGTAACATCAGACAGCTCTCAGCCCACAAACTGTCATGATATCAAGACTCAAAGATGTTGCAGATCTCAGATTCTAGAACAAGGTTCTACCAGCTCATGGCACAACAGCCTCTGAAAATGTCTCTGGCAAGGAAAATTCCCTACCCAAACAACTCTGTTCTCATCTGAGCAGTACTTCAGAGTTAAATGCAGAAAGAGCCTCCTTTGGAAGGCTTTTCCTTGTGATGGTCTGAGGTATTGATCTAGGGCTAGATGAAGAGGCAGGGAAGAAAGAAGATGAGGAAAAAAAGCAAAATTATGCTAAAAAATTCACTTGTGGATATTTATACATTTATATATGCAGAGCAAAAAAATATTCAAGCGGGTCATAACAGTAGCCTGCAGTAATGCTGGGTGTCAGTGCAAGGAGTAGGATGGGGAGTGAAAAGGTATCACACTGTGGCAGTTTCAACATGCAGGAACATAACTGGCCACAAGGATATGAGACACCAGAGGGTGAGTACAAGCCCTTACAGGAAGCAGCTGTGGAATGAGCTGTAGCCTGGTGCTCTAACCCTGTCTCTGGAATGACTTCTGCTTGATCTGTGTCATTATCTAAACAAGCAAGGAACAATGAAAAAATACTTTCATTCCCAAGTTGCTCATAAAGAGAAAATGAAGTAAATATTAGGTATTATGTCAAGTAACTGATATTAAGACATTGATGACGCATTTATGAAAGCCCCAAACACTTCCATCATGTCAAATATATTTTGTTTTGGAGACCAAGTAATAATCACTAATTTCCATTTGCATCTCAATATTTGACTTGGACAGAATAGTTAGAATGTATAAAAAATGGGAAAACTTCTGGTTTTCAAAAACAGTTATTTGGAAGATGATTTTAGAGACAAATAATATATTGGCATAAAGTTTGTTGGTATATGCTTCCACTTTGAACTGAAGTAAGATACAGATATTCACATTCTAAAACGAATCTCTAACTTAGTTCCCTCATAAAATTGAGGTGCTCCAACCAGATGTATAACTTTTGGACTATTCTGGCTTTAAATTCTTGCTCAAAGTGCAGTACTAACAGCACTTTATTCATTCAAGTATAATAAATCAGGCAAACAAAACAATTAACTTGGCTTATAGATCTCAAAAAAACCCAAGCTATTCTCAACATTTCTCTCCCATTAGTTCCTGGCACGTTCATTGAGTGGAAAACAATACAACTTCTTAGGAGGCATTCTCTGCTGCCAGCCCTTGTGGGTGAGTTTCAACAGCGACCTGCTGGTGCGAGTCTGCTTATTCTTGTACACTTGCAAACTCACTCCCCAGCTGTGCACCATGGATATAACCCTCTAAGACCAGGGGAATTTCAGAAAAAAAAAATAGGTAAAATAGAATAGATTAGGTTTTACGAGTCAGAAAATATATAAGGATTGTATGGGAAAAGGTGTAATTAATCAGAAATACTGGAAGTGTAACATTTTTACCTTTGTGAAGTATGAAAATGGTTCTCATCTAAATGTTTCCCCTACTGAATGATGGAAAAAATAATTACAAATAGGTTGTGGAGGGTGGGAAATAAAAGGAAAAACAAAACCATGAAAGACACTTTTGGCATCTTATGTTAGGCCCTAATGTCAATAAAGATCATCATCCAAAGTCTTAGTGACATCCTCCAACTAAGTCTAAAGAGAAACTTTCTTTTAATTTCTGATAATTATGTTCTCTCTTAGTCAAGAAACCAAGATAATGGAGTCCAAAGTAAATAATTTTAAGAAAATTTGTAATGGAAGCCAAATATCTCAGTATTTTTTCAATCAAGCAACCAAAGGCCAGAGCAATGCAAAACAAGGGAACAAAATATGGCACTAGAGAGAGAAGAGCAGCAGCAAGACTTGTTGCCATTTTCAAAGATAATGTTAATCTCAACTACAGATGAGGGCCTGTCACTGTTCACACAATCATATTTCTTTGTGCTTGCATTGCTAGAAAATGAAAGAAAAATTTTTATGATATGAGCTGTTCTAGAGAAATTCCAGGCTTGAGGCAGAAATTACTGGCAGAAAATCTATGGTTTTTATGGAGAAGATCAAAACAGATGTCTTCTTCTGACCTTACTGGATTTTATTGACCTTAAAATGTATGCCTGTAAATAAGATTTTTCTGGAACACATACAATAGTATTACTATGCACGTTTTACCTCAGTCATCCATCATTTTGATGTACAAGTATATCTCATTGTCTTAGTCATAAAGGCATTCAGAGATACAGCCTACTACCTTTGTCCTTTTGAAATATTTTACATCAGCCTTAACTTCACCAATATACTGGGAAAAAATCTATGTGAATAGACTTAGAATTTCTTAACTGTATGTCTTGGTATAATTCTGTGTGAGCAACCACTGTGAGTTCTTCATTAAGCTGCTCCTTAAAATGCATTGAAGTAATCAATATTTTAGTTTCTAGTAAATTATTTTTTCATTTGCTTGAAAGGTAATGCACCACAGTTTTGTGATAACCTGCTTTCATACTTATTGCTCACTTACATAGATCTCTATTATTTTACATTATGCTACTGCTTTTAGCTTTGTTTTGGCTTTTCAGTATAAGTTGTGTGCTTCTTTACAGTTTGTTGGAAGGGAGGGTGTTGAATCATGTTTTGATTAATAAGATCTTGGCTATACCCCCTCAAGTCTGTATTTTGGGAGAGATGGGTGTTGATTTTTTCAGTTTTCCAGATATTATTGTCACCTTATAAAAGCCAATGCTGCCTTTTAGCTGTTAGGTCTGCTACGTTTTCATCTCAACTCCTGCTTTTTTATAACCAAAGAAAGAAACATATTTCTGCATTTTGTTCATAGATTCAGTTTAGTTGTCTATTTTATTATCCTGCCAAAAAGGTTCCCACCACATTCACAAACCTCCAGGAACACTTGGAATGTTATAGTATTTTCTGTAATAGTTTTGCATGCTTTATCAGTGAAATAAAACCAGGGTGTCGTTCATTTGAATTCTTCATATGCTGTCTTGATCTATATATTTTCTTCAAGAAACATTTTTTTCTTTTTTAGAAGTTACAATCTTAATAAAAGCAACACATTAAAAGACATGTCTATTTCAGTTATTTTATACTTATTTTTCCATTGTACAAAGAAAAATATTGGCATCCCATAAGGTGTCTTCAAATGAAGTGAGATGCAGATCAAATATGGGGCAGTTAGATATACAGCCACATCAAGAACATCAGATGACCCATTGGACTTAGGCACAACCCTGTCTCCAAAAAGGACCAAAAAAATAGTGATAACTTTAAAATCACATTTGAATACTTCAGAATCCAAAGACCCAGAACCTGGCTCTCACTACAGCTGGGTCAAATGGAGACAATAGGAAGCACCAGTCTGTAGGAAAGTGTCAAATCAGACCTCTGGATATTGAGTAAATCATCTTATTAGCTTCACTGCCACACCCCAGGAGTGGTATGCAACTTGCCCAAAAAGTAAAATAAAAATGAGCTGAAAATGGACTATTTGCTTTTAAGGCCAGAAAAAACTATTTTCATAAGCTAACAGTCTCCTATGCAGGAAAGGTTGTGGAATTTTCTTCATGCAAAACAGCAAGTTGCTGCAAATTAAAGCACATCTTTGAGAAAGATTACATAAATCAAATATGGATAACTTGCTACACTGATGTATAAGTCCAAGAGTAAATCACACTTCCTGTTTCAAGCAATCCCAATCTTTGCAATCTATTTCCAGTTTGATCTCAGCTGACTTGAGCTCCCATGATGGTTAGTCAGTGGCCTTCAACATCTCTCAATTTGTTCAATTCTAAATAAGTTTCTGTGGTTATTAAAAACCTTGAAGAGGAAATCTCTTTACCAGCCCCTCCCCGACCCCCCCTCCCCATACAAATTAATAATTTTCAAATGAAATGAAGAATTCTGAGGTGAAACACAGCAGTGTGTGTAAACTAACAACATTACAGAGTAAACAGGTAAACTAGGAGCAAAGAGTGCTTTCTCCAAACAAAACAGATCATCTGAATTTATTACCAAGGCTGTGGCACCCAAGGGCCAGCTCCCCAAGAAGGATGGCTCTGTCCTTGGCAGCAGCTGATGGATGCTCAGCCCTGCTCCGCCATCCCCAAGAG